CAAATGCATATTTGTGTCTACAGCACAAAAATGTGTATTTATAGATGAACAAACCAGGTCAAATCTTTTGTAGTAAAAAATAAATTAAACAGCCATTTGTCAGATGAGTATCTGGAGACCATTATTACGAGTCAATAGAACTGATCTTAAAATGAGGGAAATACTGTCAAGGGAAAATATTTTTAATGACATTCTGTGTTTGTAAGCACACACAGACACTCATATTAAAAAGACACCAGTCTGGTTTTCACACTGCACTGCTGCTCTGAAATGAATCACTCACAGCTTTGAATTAGTTAGACTGAGCAAGACAAATAGTCTAGAAGATTGGTTTAACACGTAYTAACTCATTTATTGATTAACTGTACAAAAACATTTCCAACCAATGGTGTATGAGTGAATATCTTTGCTGCAGCAGATCACATGGAAAAGCTGAGAAAATTTTTTTGGAATTTAGAATTTATACCTCATCTGAACTTGTTTTGCAGAGGTAGSCAGGCAGAATTACCTAATCCCCATCTGCTTAACTCAAACGCAGAAATATAAAAATATTAGCATAAAAATACTGGACATGCAACTATTCTTTGGTTTGTCTCCATCTGGCATTCTTGAAAGAAGAAAAAGGAGAAATCCAGGATATACCAAAATTACAGGTTTTATGCAGAAGAATAATCCTTACTCAGGGTTTAACTAAGCTAAAAGACTGGAAAAAATGTAGTTATGATCATAAATAATGAAGGTTTGTGGAGGTTCGGCCAATTCGGAGCTAAGAAAGTTCTATTCTGTTAAGCAGGTAAAATAAAATAGAGGTCTGAAATAGCAGAACATGTCAAAAACTGAAGGGACCAAAAGCTGGGAGGAACACCTTTTCGAATCCTCAAAAAAACACCAATAGCTTGTTTTATTGCAGAGTGAGTCAGCAGTCAGAGGTGAGATTTAACTCTAAGCTCTTCATATTTACTGCTAGTAAAGAATTTTTATACAGATTAAGGAAATTTCTGGAGTAGTATTTTCTGTTTGTACCTTCTGTTGAAATTCATATGGGCACAGCACACTATGATTTTCTGTTTTCTTAATTTTACTCTTGTTACCCGGAGCTCACACACATTTTTACTAGCAGCTTGCAAGTGATTCAGATACATAAATAACAGAATCTAATGCTATTTCACACATCTTGGGATACCCAAGRCTTCAGAAGCAGGCAGAAAAGGCATTGAATGTACAAGAAACGCGTGCTCCTCCRGAATGGCAACTCAGGGCCAGACATAGTAACAGGGTATAACAACCTTCTTTCTTTTGGCAGTTGAATGTTACTCTGTTAGTGATATTTATTAAAAATAGCAGGAACTGTGTAAATGTTTTTTCTCTTCTGCTTATTTATTTTCTTCCCTATGTCATCATGGTAGCATATGCTACTGTGTTTAGTCTTTCTTTAATAAATCTTCCTKTTACTGCAGCTCTTCTCATCCCTTTGCAATCTCTAAAAATATAGCTGCTTTGAGAACAATTGTTAAAGCCTGGTTATAACTTCAATGAGTTTTTCTTACTTATTGCCATAATGAATAGTTGGAAAATATTTAAATATTTTAGACCAATTTTTGATCTTTTGCTGGCATAAGTGTGCAGTAAAATCAGTGCAATTGAAATGAGGAGCTGATTATTGGAATAATATTGATTCTTTTCAAAACGTTTTTTGCAATTCTCCTTGGTAAGTTAGTTATTCRAGCAAAGATTATGCTTTCATATTGATGATAATTTTCTTGTTCTCTTTTTCCTGCTAAAGTTTCACTTCCTTTTTGAAATTACGTTTTTCCAATCCCTCCTTAGCATATCATTTTTCTCTAATCCCTATCCAGAAAACTAAGGTGTTTAGCATCTCTCTCTTCTGACAAACAGAGAAAGGAAGGAAGGGAAAGAAGGAAAGGAAGGAAGATAGAAAAATAATAGGAAAATAGATTTGTCTTTTTGGTATACTCTTTTGTGAGCACAGGTGCATGGCAGGTGAGGTTTTTCCAACRTAAACGTAGATTTAGTACATAGTTATTGTCACTGAAATTTTGGATGGGGCTGCTTGCAATTTTTTTTTCCAAATATCTTTAGAAATTTCATTTTCTCCAGTTGAATTTCCTTTGCTAGCTTCTTTGTCACAGTTCAATTCTATTACTTCTGTAGAAAACCCTGTTATATTTTTTTAATTAAAATGCATGAAAAAACCTTTCTATTGTTTATTTACATGCCCTTGAACTTACTAAAAGCAGACTTCTCACAAAAGTGAAGACAGACATATAAGTCTGTACTTCTGGTACTCTTCATTGGGTTTATTTTCAGAGAGTTTGACTTAACATTTAAAAACATATGTAATTGTGATCATACTTTGTAAGGGGAGGAAACACCACATGCTCAAGGTTGGCTATAATAGYTATGCTCTGTGAAAAATGAACATACAAATGGAAACTCATTTTCAATAAGCAACTACTTAGTTTTGAATTATATTTGGAATTTATTTGTTTTGCAATAACTCAGAGGAGTAGAAATTGGAATATTTGAGGCTAACTACAAACTTATATCACTGTGTAGAATGACAGAGGGAAAGGAACTAAGAAAATTGTTTGTAGTGAGCACAAGAATAGGAAAAAGATATTCCAGAGCTCTGTTTACTTCTAGTAACTTTATTCCTCCTGTTTATTGAATAATTTTGCACATTTTAATTTCTATGGATATTTTGACTGTTCTTAAGTAGCTCTACAAAATGTGTCTCTTTTAACCAGCAGGTTATTTTCAAAGAATTTCTATAATTCATGTTGTTGCTTTAATATACTTTTTTCCAACTATTGGATTGAATTTTTACTGATGCCTAAGTATTTGTGAACACCAAGATTTAAAAATTATTCCATAGTCCTACAAGATTATAACAACCTAATCTTTAGGCATATAGCTCTCTTGGTAAGAAATTKAGTGGAACTTAGAAGATCTGGTTTCAGATTTATTTCTGTCACAAATTCCCTGCATGTCCTTTAAGGACAAAACATAGCTAAAGGTCAACCTAATCAGAAGAAAAAGTGTAATGAAGTGATTAAAGCATATTGAGATGTCTTAAGACATATTGATTTGTTATGTTATTTCAGGCTTCAGTTTGATCTAGAGAGAAGTGCAAGCTCTTCCATCTGGGTTCAGGGYTGGAAGTCGTGAGACACAAACCCCACATGGGCACCATGTAACTGCAAGCTATGAACACTTGGCATGTCTTTACCACAGCATTTCAGAGAGCCTGTTAAGCTCTTCGGGGTACATATTTGAGCATCTCTTTTGCTTTTCCTTTTTCGTGATTGGATGAAATTGCTGTGTTGATAAGGGCATAAATATTTGYAAAGTGCTGGTTGAATAGAATTGGCAAGAGAATAAGTATATTCTTAATGTAGCTTAGGGATATTTTCTGTGGCATCCTCAATTTTGCACTAATAATGAAGGAAAAAAAAAACCAAAAACCCAAACCAACAAAAAAAACCCTGAGGAAATAGGCTTTTCCATGCAAAGCTGATGTCTGGCTCAGGGAAAGACAGTTGATACCCAGTTTCAAACTATGTATTATGATACGCAGCCCCATCCAAATCTTCCAGATTGTCCGCTTTGAGTCACAGACACAGCGAATCAGCTTTCATCTCCATTTCCCTCTAGTGCTTGCCTGATACTGGAACTGCTGGTGACCCAGAACAGTAGCACAAGCTGTCTGAATGTTAAGTGAAAGCTCCAGGCTGCATGAGCTCAGTAACCCTACATGATCACCTAGTGTTTCAGGGTGAAAAAACTTACCAATGAARCAAATCAACAGGCAGGGCAAGAAATACCTATTACATTCCTGCAGAGACTGAGCTTTTGTCTAATAGAAGCTGAGATTTGCTTAGCTCCCAAGCAATATCAAGGAGGCAGGTTCCTCTCTTTGCAAAACCAAGGTCTGAGACACTGAGGTGACACGTTTGGAATCCAGTGGTAGAAGGAAGGAACAAACAGCTCTTTGTTTCTGCATCCTCCTTATAGACATTCTCATAAATAAATATATAAATGAAAACTCTCCAGAATTAGTATAGACTAAGAAAGCTCTGTGGAGGTTGCTAGGCAGCCGAGGCCAAAGGAATAGAAAGCAGGCAGGTCTTTGAAAAACAGAATCAGTGACTTATGGGTTATCTGAAGTCACAATTTACTCAATTGTCTTTTGACATAAACAACAGAGAGTTGTATTTATTTTTCTTTAGTAAATAAATGATGCTTTTAAAAGATTTGAAAAAAAGKACTATCTTATATCTCATTCTGACCTGTGTTTTGAAACTAAATAAATAAGCTTTTATGCATGATTATTGTTTCTAATCTTTACTTATTTGTTGACTGATATGGAAATTTGAAGCGGTATATATGAAGCTATAACTTGAAAATTATTTATTGAAATAATTAATTTTTAAACTTCTTTYCAATTTAAATTTTTAACATGGTGTACATGTAAGACTCTAGATGAAGAAAGTTTCCAAAGGAAGGTATGCTCAGCTCTCAAGAGGTGTACACAGGCATGTTTCATCGTCACTGATGACAGGAAAAGGCACTGTCACTAATTTCTACCACGATGCCCAGTGTGGTGTATGATGAAGCTACTCCTTACAGAAATTAAGCAGTAACCACCCCCTTCCTGTTACTGAGCATGCAAAGACATTTCTAACAGGCAAGGCAAGATTGTCATCTGCAAGGTTAGATGATCACATTATTGACTAATTGCTGCCTTTGAAACCTCTGTTTATATTTGTGCCTTGAAAGTCTTCTTGTAATTAACTGTGCCCTCAGCAGTTCTGTTATACCTACATACATTCATGGGGCATTGTAATCCTACAGTTCCCCTCCCTTCTCATTGTGCAGTGACGGCTCTAGATCATTTTTAGTCTGAGTTATTCTTTCTCAATGTCTTCAGTTTATGTCTTGAGAARATTTAATTGCTGTAATATGTGTTTCTTCCACAGGGTGGATGCTGTGGGGGGGTCCAGGCAGCTCTGTGGAACAGTCTCCAATGGGATAGTAGGATGAGAAGGTCCAGGGGTAGTTTGGGAAACGAGGAGAAACATCACCTCCCAAGACGGTAAATCTACTGAAAAGGTAATTCCTGTCAGGATATTGTTATGCAAGTTCACTTTTCAGGTTCCAAGGATATGCATGGCAGAAAACTGGTAAGGAAGGGAAYAAACCTTTGTTGTTGTCTGACTGTTCATACGGAGTCTTCTGAATATATTTCCAGAGCTTCTTAAACTGTGCTGAGTTTCGATTCTCATCCTTGTGTGAGAAAGAATTTGGATGCTGTATCTTACAGGGGTTTTCTTGTTTTCCTGTGGACCTTTTAGAGAATACAAATCACAAGATTACAGTAACTTTCCAAGAAATTCCTTACAGGAATTAAAACCCTGAAAATGCCAGCTTATCAGCCATATAACAATTTAGCAGAGTAAAATGWTGTTTCACAGGGAGAGCTAATAGTTGGAGTTTAAGATGTACATAATCTTGTTTTGTTGARTTCTTTCTGTCTCACTTTCTAGGCTTAGCTACTGTGTTTGTGAAGACTCTCTTCCYACCCTGAAGCCTTARCTATGGATGTTTTTGTTCCTAGCATTTCAGAAGTGCAAGAGAATGTGCAAACTAAAGATCTGTCATTCTTCAGAGTAACTGTAATGTTTCTTCCTTCATGTTTAAAGGCAGAGTTGAGCCATGAAGCATYAAAACACTGAGTTTCTCCGCTGCTCCAAAAGCCCAGCTGTATGGTGTATTTTTGAGCCCAGTTAACTTATCATATATCCATGTTATACACACATTTCTTGGTCCTCAGCTAAAATTAAGTTTGCTGAACAAACAGATTTTGTTCACTCATCCTGAACCAATCATTTCCCATGGTACGTTTTGAAATATCTGACAGGCTGCCTTGCTTCTTTCCTTTATTAATGTGCCTTAATGTATGCAGAGTGCAAGAAAAACAACAATGGAAAWTCACACTGGTAGAATGGGATTTTTGCTGCAAAGTTCTCTTAAGAATCTATTCCCTCATCTCATGAGACACTGAGAAAGCATAAAACATAATTTAATAGAGAAATATTTTTTTCTTTGCTCAGTATAGATGATTTGACTGGTTGAGTACCAGGTTGGGCTTTCAAATGTGTCTGGGACATACCTTCCTCTTTGTTGCTGGTGAGCTCCCTCCAGTGCCCTGACATTAATTAATTAAAATTGTTCAGAGAATCCACTGCTGCAGTTCATAAATTTCTTCCATAGTTCACCAGGCATCACCAAGCTTGGCAGCTGTGGGGGAATATCTGCACTCAGGCGACGTTACTGACAGACAGGTTACTGTCTTTGGGTAACCTGTAGCTTCAGTGGAGAGTCTGATGCTCTCCCCTCTGAAAAGAACAGAAACTACTTTAYTACYTGGGARAAGTTATASRTGGATTTGTGACAGAAGAAAGGTTYGATCCAGGARAGAGAGGCCTTGACTCCTGCATTTATATGTACGGTGATAGTTTTCAGCTTATGATCTGCTTTTCAAGATTATTTCTCTCAAAATTGTTGCTAATCAGTTCAACCGAGCTTCTCCAGACCTAATTCAGTTTTCTATTATCTAGTAGAAGTAAGTTTACGTGGCGTTTTGTTAGTGAGAGTCCAGTAGTCTTTACAAAAATTGCACCAACTTAGGTACTGGGTCCTTTATTGTGACAATAAAAAGGAATAGATCGTTCATGGTTTTAACTGGTCTGAGATCCAGGGGATCTGGCACCAATCTCTTGCTGTGTTTCAGGTGTCTTCTTGGCTGCATTTTTCTACCTGCAGTGTGGGCAGACTCTCATGAAACTTTTATAATGTTCCTTTGTGGATGCTTCAGTGACAATCCTTTCTCGAAGAGAGAAAAGGATCTTTGTCCAGGAGTTAACAGATGTCATKGAAAGAGCTTTAAAGTAGATTTGAAGGGGGAGAGGCATAAAACCAGGCTCAGTAGAGAAAAGCCTGGGACCAGCATGCTAGTGTTCGTGAGAKGGTGTGCTAGCAGGTCCTTCAGTCTGCTCAGTGATGTGCTGAGTACACCAGAGCACATTTGAAATGCTTTTATACCAACGTGCTCAGCATGAGCAATGTAGTGGGACCCTGGCCAGATGCCAGGCACCCACCAAAGCTGCTCTGTCAATCCCCTCCACAAATGGATAGGAGAGAGAAAATATAATGAACATTTCATGGTTTGAGATAAGGACTGGGAGAGATCACTCCCCAGATACCACCACAGGCAAAACAGACTCAAACTGGGGATATTAATTGAACTTACYACTAACAAAATCAGAGCAGGATAATGACAAGTAAAATAAATCTTAAAACACCCTCCTCCCATCCCTACCTAGTTCCCAGCTCTAGCTCCTGCCATCCAGCAGCACAGGGAGACAGGCAGTGGAGGTTATTATCAGTTCATCCCAGGTTGTTTCTGCTACTGCTGAGGGAGAAGAGTTCTTCCCCTGCTTCATCGTGGGGTCCCTCTCATGGGAGACAATTCTCCATGAACCTCTCTGTGAGTGCATCCATCCCACAGGCAGCAGCTCTCCACAAATTTCTGCAATTTGAGTCACAAGAGCAAGCGCAGGATTCTCTGCCTTGGACAGGTCAATATGGCTGTACATACAAATCAGAGGAAGAGAGTCTGGAAAGCAGCCCTACAGAAGGAGATTTCAAGATCTCCTTGATCCTGAAGGCACAGCATTGCCGGTTGCTTGAGGGAGATTGTCCCACTCGACACTGCAGCCCCACCTTGAGTACCAGGTGCAGTTTTGGGGGTCTCCAAAGAAGTCACACCCATCACACTGTGTCCACAGGAGGGCAACCAACATGGGGAAAGGTACTGAGGCTTATGAGAATCTAAGGAAACTTTAYGTGCTCAGTTTAGAGCAGGGAAGGCTGGGGGTGACCCCATCACAGCAAAGGGGAAGGTGCTTGTTTCCTTTCTCTGGTGACCAGGAACAGGACTCAAGAAAATGGAATAAAGCTGCATCCAGGGAATTCAGATTGGAGGTTCCTCACTCAGTGGGTGGTTGGTCAGTGTCACAGGCTTCCCTAGGGAAATGGTCACGGCCCTGACCCTGACAGAGTTCAAGGAACRTCTAGATGATGCTGTTAGTCAGATGATTTAGTTTCAGGTAGTCCTGTGGGAAACAGGGAGTTGGACTTGATGATCCTTMCAACTTGAGATATTCTATGGCTATGTGGATCCAACCTCAGTGCCAGGGAATTATTTGGATTTCAGGCTTTACACTGGGAAAAAAAGTTACAACCCCTCAAGACAAATATGGAAAGAAACTGAAATTAGAGGAGATGACATTGTGATATCTTCATCTGCAAGGTATTAAGTRAAGTTTGAACTTCTCCGCTCTTAACACTTTCTGAGAAATAGGAAGCCTAATGGATTGATGTTTCAGTCTTTGATTCCCTGCTTAAATTGTGTTTCATGTTGAACTATTCTTGAAATGCCATTTTGACTGAAGGTAGGGGAAGATAAGAGTACTGTTTTAATATAACTTGAAATCTTGATGGTAAAAGGTAATTTATATTTTCAGTAAGATGCTTTCATCTTCATTGGACTCTAGTGATATTGATCTGCTATCAGTACTAAGTACATATCCTTCAATTCTGACCAGATTTGGCTTCTGGTGTGAATGACAAATGTTTCACATTGTCCTAGCAAATAGAGCTCTTTCTGCCYGTTTCTTTGGCTGGTCAGTTTACAAGTGGCTGATTTTGTTGGTTTGCTTGATCAATATTTTGTTGTTGTCAATTTTAAGATAAATGGTTCTGAATTTTCAATCACTGTGCTCCTTTAAGAATATTTATAGTAAAGTCATAGTAGTCAATGCAGGATTTGGTTTTGTTTCTTGTTTTGCAATAGTTAATAAACCAATTGTGTTCCATGATTTATGGAAAAGTCCAAATCTTTCAAATTAAATGAAGGATAAACAGCTTCAGAATTAATTATGTTCTTKCACATAATGAAAATCTCCATTTAAAAATGAGGCATGTCCCAGAGTTTGAAACAGAAGGAATGAAATACTCAAATCAAAACAGAAGTTCTTTTCACCTAACAACAATTCCTATAGCCATGTTTAGAACAAAGCTTGTCTTTTGGATTTCTGTGTGGGCACAACTAGCTCTACACAGCTGGAGATTAATAAGAGTACAGTCACAAAGTGCGAGTGTACAGAAGTGGCAGTACCCTTTGCTAGCAGACAAGAGATCTCGAGGGTTTTGTCTTAGAAGAAAGAACCATTAGACAGAATCAAAGTAAATAAACCTTAAGAGTCAAATAGAGACAGGACAACTCAGCAGGAATTCCTTCAATATTTCATAAAAAAAAAAAAACTAAAGACTGTGACATGACAAGGAAAGACCATTGTAACTCTGAAATTATCTGAGAAATCTAATATGAAAGAGGTGAGCTACCAGACAGCCTTCAGCTGCATTACTGAATGCCATTTAAATTACTCTCTCCACAGCTGATAACACTGTATGTAATACATTTCTTGTGTTTCATGTTCTTTTTGTTTAAACTCACTGTGTGACGTTCTTCATTAAAAAATGGTTGAAATGAAATGGTGCCCTTAGTGTGTCAGAATGCCAATAATTCAGTCTCTCAATTTACTTCTTTTCCTAACCTCTTTACAGTTGGACTTTGTTCATCTGCCATTTTTTTCTGTTGTTTTTTCTCTGTTATTTAATTTCTTTCCAGTTATGCCCCTCTTGGTATTGTAAATTATGATTTCCCATTTCATTCCTCAAGTTCTCTTATGTTAGGTGGCAGAAAACTGAAGGAGAACAGTTTGTGGTATTTACTCTTTGTAAGACTGGGTGTTCAGGCACCTTCCTCTGAATATTCTGGTTCCTGTACTGTTCCAGATTCATGTTCTGCAATTTTTAACACTTCTTCTAGTGAAAATTTTGCTTTGGCTACAGTAGAATGAAACTGGGAATAGAAGAGTTGGTCTGAATACTAAATAGAAAATTTCTTTTTCCTTAATTCTCTTGACATCTTGAGGATTTGGAAAACATTCATTGTTGATTTGTCAACATAAAATTGATAG